GTTCACAAAATGGTGCTGCCGGATATATAGGTTATTCACGTTGGGGAATCCGCTGATATGGCCAGAAGAAGTCCTAAGTGACTGCTCATTCTGGGAATGCGAAATTCGAGGGTGAGCTTATAATTATTAAACGCACTGTATAATACCAGTGTGCAATCGAGACGATTCAAAAATAGAAGTGACAGCAAGTCTAACGGCACACTCTAAAGAACTAAGAAGTGGGGAACAAAAAGGTCGAGAAGGCATTTGACGCAATTGTGGACCTGATTGAGGCATAGAGCGGGAGAGCACGAAGTGAGGTGACCCACCAGTTCCTGAACATCGTAAGTGCTGAAGGAAGGAAAACAGATAAGGACAAGTGCTACTGAAACCATTTTCACTTAGAGAAGGTGGATGCGACGGACTTCCACACGCCGTGAGACCAAGTTGATTACACAAACCAAGAACCTGTGAGAACGGTTAGCCACTCGAAGCTGAGAGGAGAGCGGGCCCTGATCTCGCAGAAACAGTTGGCGGAGTGCCCGAAAAGTCGTCAACGACGCGCTCTTCATTGCTGCGTAATGATACAAAAGTAAAGAGAAGACTGCCAATCTACTGCAAACTTACCTTACCTCTATCAGAAGAGAGCGTTCGACCATAAACTTTGAAGACTGGCTCTGACGAGCGCTCAGAGTCGCAATTATCTACAGTGCGGTGCAAAATCATAGGACACCCCTCAAAAATATGAACATATCTCGGCTTCTAGGAATCCTCATTCATAGCAACCTGTAAAATCAGAACCATCCTTCATAAAAACCTATACTCACAAATTACCAGGTTATCCGATTAGTTTTCCATATTTTTAGACAATTTTTTTTATTTTGGAGCCGGTGCAAAATCATAGGACACCCTCCTTCAAAACCTTAAAAATACAGAATACGCCCGAATCTTATTGCTTTAGTATTCCAAAAGGAACCACTTAGCAGAATTACTCTATCCATACAAGAAGAAACGCTGCCGCAAATTTTTATACATATTTAAATCAAAGTGGTACTCATCAATGAGGAATCCGTTGCGTAGCAGCCCACTCGGTTTCTCGAGTTTTCTTTTACCAGAAAATGCAATTTTTCTGTTCTTTTCATTCTTATCGTGGATAATGAGTCTCAAGCCAGTGATTTATGGCTGAAATAGAATCATGATTTTTCCGTGAAGGATTCCTGAAGGGAAGTATTGGCCCAGCCACTGCCAGCAAAGGTTCTGCAAGTGAGTCTCGACAAATTTAGACGCGCACTCCTTACTGGCCATTCTATCAAAGTCACTAATTGTTTGTAACCACTGGCTCGTTAGAGCCTTCACATGAAAAGCTGCGTTACTTGTCAAAAAGGTAGTCTTCCACGCGAAATCTGTAAAAGTGAAGAAAACAAGTGGTTTTTTGAGCCCTTCCCGTTCTCTAGTAAACTCATTTCAGTGAAGAAAACTCCAGGTCTAGGACTCAGGATGAGGTTACGCATCCCACATCTTTAGGAAACTACCACGAAAATTCGTTGAAGGAATATCGTCGAATCCTGGCCTATATTCCTCTACTAGTGAACAGCGTCATCTGAACCATCAATGTTAAACTTCTTGTTACCAAAGAAAAGCGGTCTGAGAGGAACAAAACACTTATTATCTTGAATGAAAATTTGCTCAACAATGGCTTCGATGCTCGTGGTAGAGCCATCAGGCGCGTATAAAAGCAACGTCTGGCTTTCACTCGCGGAGGGAAGGAGAGCAACTCAAACCGTAACTCTAGTAGAGTTGCCATACACCAAATAAGTGCTACTATCGTTGCTGGTTGGATAAAAAATTCAACAGTAAGGAGATTCTGAGGGGTGTCCTATGAATTTGCAACATCTCCAAAAATTTCAAATGGAAAACTGATCGGACGACCTGGTAACTTGTGGATATTGGTTTTTTGAAGGCGGTTTAGATTTAACAGGCTGCGAGGAATGACGTCTTTTAGAAGCCGAGATATTCATTTTTTTTGGGTGTCCTATCATTTTGCACCGCACTGTAGAACACATGATCTCCATGGTGAAGGACATCTGCACCATGGCTATTGGTACACTCCGCACAGCTTGATGAAGGTCACGCTCGAGGCACACAAAGTTCACTGTGAGCCTGTTCCCCTATCTATCGACTCAGGATGCTACATGAATGCAGGTGTCACAACAGACTGCGAAGAGCACCGAGGCAAGGTGCAGAAGAGGCTAGTGTTTGAAACTGATGTGCTCCAGCTAAAGACGGAGAAAAAACTTCTTCAGTTCTGTATTGCGACAGAACCAGCCATGGACGGTCCCAGAGAAACGCTCACACCTCACACAAAAACGGCTTAATCGTTAAAAAACCTCCGAAACCAATACAACTTCACAGTTACAAATTTAGAGATCTTCCCTTGCGCGAGAATGGCGCCAGGGACTCACAAAGTGATCTGATGCGAATGTGAGCTTGTGAACGGGAAACGTCGTGCGCACCACATACACGAAAGTCGGATTACGGCATGGCGGGTAATTCAGACACGCGCGTGCTAGTGGTGCTATGGAGCAAACAAGTTCGTACAACTCGTCCGGCCCTGCCTCATTTCAAGGAGAAAGAGAGAACACTTGTTAATGGCTTTCATTGGTGGTTTGCTTTGCTTCTTCATTATTTTTAGTCAGTTGTGCATCCACAATTTCGTCATCGACCGGTGTTAGCCCGCCAATGTCATTTGGGGTTGTTGCTTTGAATCACAAAATTAATTTGGAAACCACTAACTCTGACCTAGAGTCAATGTGACCCAATGCATCGATATTGCCTGAGGGAGAACGTTCGCCGATGGCTACCTATCACTTACTGACATTGACAGGGATGTCAAGTGGAAAGTGCAAGTGTACAGCAAGAGCGAAACGAACGAAATAAAACAGCACAAATCAACTTCAAGTTTCAAGTTCTTCCGAGGATGTCCTCCATCTAACAATAAGCTAACAACTTTTCTTCGGCAACGATATCACACAGAAGTTTGAAGTTGGGGATCTGGTGTTATTGACTTTGGTATGTGGGGAATTTTCAAGATTTTTCATGTCCTCGAAATGAAAACTGCTCGCGTCACATATTCGGTTCTGTACTAACGAGCTCGATGAATGCGTCTACTGAGACAGACGTATCAAAGTTTGTAATTATGGTGATATGTGGATAATTATGTGATAATATTGCATGAAAGCTAGTGCAGTTAAGGACAAAAGGGTTTTTGTGGATATTTTTCAACCATAACACCAAAATTACCGACAAAATTTCTCGAAATTTTGTTGTTTTTTTAAAAATAATACCGATGATTATGCTGTTCACAGCTTATGAAGGTAACAATCGAGAAGAGTACTTCGTTGATAGCGTTTAAAGATAAAAGCTCACGAAAGATACAGTCTCCACAAGAAAAAACTGGGCGACCATTTCAACCATGCTGAGCTCAGGCGACAGCGGCTTACGTGGGCTTTGATAACTGTGAAAGTAAGAAATGTCCTTCGCAACAGTGAGAAGGTAAAAGTACTCCTAAACATGCGGAGCCGCACACATACAACGGCCGTTAAATGAGTACATTTGTATTGGGATGTGTAAAGCAATCATTGCATGTGCTTGCCTCTCCCCCTTACTCAGTAACCCTCAGCAAGCAACAGCTGCTTGAACATTCACAAAATCTCCACTTCACTCGGAAGCAATCCATCCTTGCGAAGTAAGCTCGGACCTGCGGTAACGCTGTAGAAACTTTTAGAGCATTTGGGAAAAAAACTGCGCTTCAGACTGTACGAAGTATCACTATAAGCGCGCACAATTCAGGGGCACAAGCCTAACATGGCCCTTACAACGAATCAAGCATTGATTTTTGAAGCTACTTTGACATCCCAACAGAAGAGTGTCACTGCTATCGGTTTTTCAAGCTGCCCCACGCTTCAAGCCTCATTATTACTTCGAACTGATTTCGCATTTCGAACAACGCTGAATGTTGAAATCTCTGACGGAAGGAAGAAAATCGATAGAAAACGAAGAACAGCCTAATCTGCCCGATTTGTGGTCAGGTACATAATTCACAAAACTATGCTATGAGCCACCATGACTTCTTCTATGATACTGCTTAGACATGCCAGATTATCCTTCCGCCAGGAATACCATAGCCTAAGAGTGAATTTATTGCCTTAGAAGCATGTGAGGGAGGTAGTGCAACCTTCTTACCCTGAACACGAATATCGTAAGCAGCCGAGCTCCCCAAGATCTTGACGAAAATTTTAGAAAGCTCTTCGAGTACTTCGGTTGCTCCCATCTTATACAAGAATTATTCCTTTAAGGTCAGTGAAAAATAAGTATGAACACGATCACGACTATCCACAAAAGGTGAGCATATTAGTTGTGGATAAAGAACCTCTCGAATCATAATTAAGCTCTAAAAATGGTCTCCAGGATGTCCGACTGCAGTATCTCTTCAATCATCCACAGTGAGTTCAACCTAGCCCGATAGTGAAGCCATATTTCAATACTACCGTTAGTAGTGGGGAAAGAGAGGGGAAGAAGTAACAGCATAGGTATCACTTTGCGTATTAATTCCAAAACTCCTTTCATACTCGTGGCGGCACCCAGCAAGGTGGCTAACCATGTGCGTCTGCACTGTGCATAGTAAGAGCATCCATTACTCTTGATCAACCTTTAAACTTCCATTAGTGAACGATCATCCTGCCCCACAAAAATAATAATTCAAAGGAACAGCCTCCCTTTCGAACAACAACGACTATTTTGATGGCCTACGCGGAAAATTCAACAGTTGTTCGCAATGATTCACAACGAACGAGGCTTGCAGAATTATCACTGTCGTAATACTTTCGAAGACAAACCCTGGACAAGATCTAACAAACACGCTGATATTAGAAGACGTTTTGGAAGAATATTGTCCAGGCAAATCCATGTCACATGAGGAATGCTGCTGTAATCAATGGCAAACAACTTTCGTCTCCACTCTTTCAGATAAGGCACTGCCACAGCCGATTCGTTTGAAAAACAGAGAAAAAAGAAAGGAAAAAAGCAAGTGGATGTCTAGACTCGCCGTTGAGTTGTTGCAGGCTTCGCCTGTAGTGTTCAATATCGTTTTGTGAATGATGATGCCTTCCACGATCTTCAGACGTCACATGAGTTGCACGAATACATTGACGAGGTCCTACAACCGCTGTTGGCGGGATGTCGTATTCTCGACCAGCACGTCTGCTATGGGGATGGGACAAATTCAAATCACTCGCCTAAAAAAAACAATTTTCCTAGTTCAACATAAAAACTTTCCTATCTACTATTATATTACAATCTGGTCGGATTTCAATTGGGAATTTTTCATGGGAGATCACTGCTGAACGTGAATAAAGCACCGAAAATGATTTTGAGCCCAAGTGAAGCAAGACTCAGTGGATCTAAAGTAACTGCTGCGTAGGTGTTTAGTTCTTCAGTTATCGATTAGTTGTAGGTGAGAATACTCGGGAAGACTTCTCTCTTAACAAAAGGTGGGAGCATGATTCGGGAACAGTCGGGTGCCTTACACTTCGACTCGGACTTTTTCCCTTTCAGGAAGCGCCGGGTGAACGAACGGAAAGGACTGAGTTGTTGAAGGAATCCTACCCGGAGATATCATGATTCTATCTCACCCATAACCACTGGCTTGAGACCCATCGTTCACGATAAGAACGAAAAGAACAAAAATTGCATTTGTTTTGGTAAACAATTCGAAAACCGGAAGGGCTGCTACGCGTTCAAATTCCCGCCGGACATCTGTCACAAATGCTGGCGGCGGGAACGCTTCCACTTGGTTCACAGTTCACTAGAAACTCTTTCTGACCTTTTGACTTATTGCACTAATCTCACACTTCTACTGCATCCTATTCTATCGATCGTTTTGTCTCTATTCTCCGAAATCGAACGCTTTAACCCGATTCTTTCAATGCGTCGCCTGATACGTGGCCGCCAAAAGGCGCACTTCCTTCCATGCCGCGTTTTTGGAGCCGCGCGACCTACATTCTGCCGTCCATCAAGTGGTTTCAATGAGTTTGTTTCTCTTCAGGATCAGAACTTCGTGCGAAAGTCCCGAAACAAAACTGCAGTCGTGGTACTGGAAGTGCTAACACTCCACGACGACCTTGCACGACCAGGTGATCAAGGCTGAGCTGAAGAAGATCTGCCGGTGGGTGTCTCCCAACCCCCCCATCGCTGACTTACCTTTAGCTGAGAATTTTACAGAATCTCAGCGGTTACTGAGCTGAAAAAGTCAAGAGCTAGGGATGAGGTCAGAAGGCTCGACGATGGATCTCGTTTTCCTACGAGAAAAAACCTAACTTGCAACACAAGCTTCGGTTTCAAGTTTTTTCTTTTTTTTCTGGTCTTTTGGTGGTCGAGGAATGGAAGAGCTATTACCTGTGATTTTTATGCCGTGAATTTATGACATTTTTATGGGAGGCGTGGCGGCAAACTTTCACTCCATAACAGACCGTAAACTATCCACAAACTTTATATTGTTTGGCGCACAAGAGGGCGGGTTGAAAATCACTTTCCAAATTATCGTTTCTGGGTTCACACTACACTTTTCAAAAACAAAACTTATGTTATCTCCGATCCCAATTCCAAAATTGAATCAACAATCAGAATATGCACAAGAGCAAAATTCTAAAGAATACACCCAGATACAAGTCTTACCTGAAATTGTGAATTTGCATAAGCAAGCGAGTGGGTCGAATGGCAACGAGGGACGGCAGTGGACGGTTCGAAGCCGGCTTCAACTGCATCGTTCTTTGAAGAATCTCGTCGCCGCAGACGTACTATAAAGAAATGTTTTCAAAAAGGTTGGAATTAAGAAGGGATATTTCAAGTGCAGTTCTTTCCCCAAGAGTAGAAACGTGATAGGTAGAAAAACCTAGTAGGTTAGCTAACTTGAGCAGCCGCGTCGTTATATTCGTACTGATATAAACTACTGTAAAATGAGTTGCAACATTAGCAATGAAACATTTAGAAAAAAAATGGAGTAAGTGAAACAACCATTTCATTTCGAATTATAAGCAGCCTACAGCGCAATTCAGCGTACCCCTGGAAACCGTTGAAGATACAAAAGTAGGAACTCAAAACAGATAATCCGACTACTCTACCACTCTGCATGTCACATAACAAGCTAGAAATCCGTCCTCACCTCGATCATCGGCTTTGGCGATGAAAAATTTGCGAAAATTCGCTATTTCAAGAACGAATTCGCAGAAATAGCCGGTAAGACAGAAAAGGCACATTTCGTTCGTAGTCGTAGATTCGTAAATTATGCGAAGTACATAGCGCCTTGGCAATCAGAACTGCTTCACGGCGCTAATTCGTCACTCAGAGTGGACGACCAAGAATTGTTAGCAGGATGAGTGGTGGACAATACTACGCCGGGCAAAAACTACGCTTTAAAATTACAGAGCCGCAGGGAGTGCACGAGGGAGCGCCGAGAAGCAGGTGAGTTATGGCCCCGAAAAACACAAGACAATACGTTCAGCTCAATACTTATGCTATACGTATACACAACTGTTGGCAGCATTCACAACAACAATACACAGCAAGTTCAGCGTAACCAATCTACCCACGTGAGCAACAGCAAAATCACCCATTAAAAGCTTCAAGCCGAAATGATAAGCCATAAACGAAAAAGAAAAGGCCAGACTTGCACGAACTTTTTCTGTGCTGGCTTCAACCTTGTCGAAGACATTTTTCAAGAATAGAAAAAAAAACAGTTTTCTTTGAGACGCTCATTGAAAGGCCCTCTCACCATATTTGATGCAGCCTTCCTACGTATACATACTTCAGGTTTACCAAAATAAACTGTATCCAGTCATTGATTCCTTACAAAATGATTAGTCATAAATTGGCTGTTAGAAAAGTTTAAGATCTGACTCAGCACTGTCTGAGTCACGATTCAAATTGCGCCATCAAAAAATTGCAGTGCATTCGCCATAAGGTTCTGTCCCACAATCCCTTCCACTTTACGTACAGCCGTAACAGTAAAATTTTGGATATCTCAAAGAGTTAGGAAAAAGCCAGTGACACCAGCAAGTAGCCGAATCTCACATAACCCAGTTGTCTATGTAGGATGCAAATTCGTAAATTTAATCACGAAAAAATCACCAGCTCTACAAGAGAGGTTTGTCCAAACTTTGCAGTTCGTAACACAGAAACTGTTGCTCTTCATCAGTACTTTAGCCTCTACAAAAGCGCTCTTTCCGAACTCTTCTAAAGTTATAACAGCTGAGGATGCATAGAGAGAACGTCTGATTCACAAAAAACGGCACCTCGAGAGTGGCTCGTCTTTAAACCTTCAAAGAATGCCGGGCTCGTTTCGTCCGCGACATCATCAACCAAAAAACGACTTCTCGGTTTTTCGGGTTCTCCTCTGAATCGAATGAAAGTCGAAGCACATACTGCGCAACGCTGGTTCGGATTGGCGACTATCATGAAGAATTTTTAGTAAAAGCGTTGTTGAACTACAAATGGAAGAAGGCTCCTCTGGCTACCGCAATAACGTGTAGCCCGGACCAAAAGTGTAGGGTTAAAAATAGGGCTCAGCGACGAGTCAGGACATCTGTTTTCTTGAAAACGATGTTGTGAACTTTGTCAAGTGTTCAAATGGGAAATCTTATAATAGAG